ATATATAAAATCATTTTGTATGCATATTAATCTAAACTTATTTGAACATTCTTGTTTAAGTTACATAGATTGTAAATGATTTTTTTTCTGTTTCTTTTCTCTATTTTTTTTCTTCTTTGGTTCTTTCTTTTTATTTCCTTGATTCCACTTTCTGTCAAAACAAAAACAAAAAAAGAGAGGAGTTTCCTGCCAAGTTGCATCTTTCTCAGAACATTCATATTAAGCTTCTTAGTCTTTATCTTGAGGTAAAGATGATTATTTCAGATGTCAGAAAGTATGGAGATAATAGCTTTATGCTGACAACACAATACAGTTACATAACACAGTCTTAAAGCTGGGAACTTTCTTTGAATTAATGAAAACTAGAGATGGTAATATTAAGCATCTCAGTATAAGCCCTTCTGCTTCTGATGTGGTGGCTGCCATTTTGCAAGATGCTGAGCTTTCTTCTCTGAAAGATTTTGCGTGTGTGTTCTGAAGTGAACTTCACCCAGGGAATGATAACTAGAAGCAACTGGCTTGTTAGAAGATGTCTGCATTTTGTAACATGCTTATGTAGCCTTAGTGAAATCATTATATTTGTGTGGTACATGTGTCTTTGTGTATAATTTTTTTTTTTAAGTAGAAATGTTGGGTTTTTTTGCTGATTTCCTATAAGAGAGGGAAGGATGTAAAAGACAGGAGGAGGAAGGACTTGAGAGGAAAGTGGAAAGGGGACAGAATGGTGAACTGTGAGAGTGATATATCTGAAATGATTATGCAGTAGTGTCATCTGACAACTTACTCTGGAGTGTGTTCTTTGAATCCTCAAAGGAAAAAAAATAGAACAATAGTCAACCTCTGAAAAAATAGTTTCTGTATAACCAGGCACTCTTCCTGCTCTCTTGTAGAGGCATCTGAACTATTGCAAAACTAAAATGGGATGAAGTTTTCTTTTGCCATCTATATTTGGAGGTAGCTTTAGAATGCTACCAGGAGGGGATAGTTAACATCAACTGTTCTTTAATTATAGCTTTGCTTGTTCACCTTCCCAAATCCTTCAGATCTTCCAAAAGGAAACAGGAGACATTTGAACTTGAGCTTTATTGAAATCTTCAAAGGCCTATTTAAAATAGCTTTTCTTCCCCCCTCCCTTTTTTTAAAAAAAAAATCCAATACTTTTTTCTATATAGAAAGGATTTTACTAGTGGGAGGGGGAGAAAAGAAAGACAGAGGAAACAAGTGGGTGGAGTGGAAAGCATAAAATTGCTTCCTTCTTAAATCCAATCTAATTTTGTTTTGTTGTGACTCTATTTCTTTGGAAACCATACTATTTCTGAAATCAGACAATTCAGGTAGCAATGGGAACCTGACATTCATTTAAAGATCAGTAACATTTTAGTCTCAGTTTTCAAGTTCCTTCTGATAAAGTTAGTAGATGATCCAAATGGACTGAGTAGTGAAAGTTCACTGTTTAATCAACTTTCTTTAATGCCTCTGTCTTTGACTCTGTATTAGATCCAATAGATACCAATCTTTTAAGACCGCATTGGAATTATATTGGAGCTGTGAATGCTTTTTAAGCATTGTAGCTGAAATTGAGGCAGGAGTTACTCTATACTGGAATCTAATTACAGCAGAAAACATTGGAAGCTGGAGTTTCCCAGAGAAGGAATGCTGAAAATATTAATAATAGCAATAGCACTTAGCACTTACACTTATATACCACTTCACAGTGCTTTACAGCCTTCTCTAAGTGGTTTACAGAGTCATCATATTGCCCCCAACAATCTAGATGTCAAACTTGCAACGTCACGTGACATATCGGAACTTTTCCCCCATTGCCGGCAATGGGGTGGGCGCAGTTTCCTCGTGAAACGCCCAGCTTGCAGGCCGGCAGTTTGACACCCCTGATCTAGATCCCCATTTTACCGACCTTGGAAGGATGGAAAGCTAAGTCAACCTTGAGCCCGATTAGGATTGAACTCCTGCAGTGAGCATTGAGTTAGGCTGCAATACTGCATTCTAACCACTGCACCACCACAGCTCTATAATCATTTGCCATTTAGCTAGTGGTGTTATCTACCCAGTTTGGTCCAGTTCATATGAATAGATGGTTAAATTATCACACGTTACAACTAAGCCAAAAATTCACATTTTCTTACTTGTCCAGGCACAGAAAAAAACTCAGCACACATGTGACAGGAATCAGGCTTTGCATGCACAGGCAAACCACAACGATGTATTCTGGTCTTTCCAGAAAGGCAGCTTGCCCCAAACATAGTGGGAGAAAATATTTATATCTTAGTATTAAAAACGTTTTTATTAAACAGATTTAAAAACCGCCCGTCTCACTCACCCAATCTGTCTTCCTACTGATTTCTTTTTAAAAGAACTTGATGTGTGTGTTTTTTTTTAATTTTTAGGTTTTATATATAACTATATAGTTCACTATGACTCTGAATTATTATTAGCATCAACTCAGTTCAAAGCAGGACAATGATCAGCGAGCATGGACTGTAGCTCAAATTTATCACTATCATTTTGAACTGAATTGAAAATTTATCAGTGTTGTTTTCAATTGTGGTATCCTGATAGTACTCCAGGTTGTATTGAAACAAACTATTCAGATGATCCAGATCTCCAGCCAAGAGCTATGTTTCCTAGATGTTTCTCTATGCCAAATACATGTGGATATGTCATCAGCACCATGTTCCCTGGGTTAAGAAAAGATACTTTAGTTCCTGAAGCAAAACAGAAAATTCCTTCTTCCCATATACATCCAGATGTAGAGAAGACAACTAGATTGGCAACTGAATCTTAGTTTACTGCTGGCAAGAGAACAAGTTTTACCACGGGGGAAGACAGCAATCTAGTTGAAAAGGTACTGTGTCACAATCCTGCTTCTTGCCATTGGTTCATACTTCCCATGGAGTATGCATGGAAAAAAATCTCTGCCTTATATGAAATGACCAATGTATTTTGTGGCATTAGCTGGGCTACATTTTTTTTTTCACTTTAGGGATAGGCTCTTTCCTTAAACCCCCCCCCCCATCTAATGCCAGAAATCTTTTGCAACAGTTCTGTGGAGAATAGTTGAGGCATCTATAAAACTGGTAGGTCTTTACACTGTTAAGTATATTATCAGCATTAGTTTAGAAATTAAACAAAATATTTGTCATTGATATTATTGAAAATTATTGTCACAGCTGCTTCTTAGTAATACTACCTACATGCATTATTTTAGCAATTTTTACATGAAGACAGCATGAACAATCTAACCAATGTTGATAATTCAGAGGATTTCAACATTATTTGTATGTATTTAATATGTCAAATAAATTAATTTCCTGAAAAAGTAATCATAACCTAATAACTAGATACCTGAAGCCCCAAAACACTTTAAATGGTGCTATGGAGGAAAGAAAACTTTCATAAAAGATACTATAGCAGATTGTTTCTAATGAATGGTTCAATAATACAAAAGAAAAACTCACAGAAACTAATGTTGCATTTGCTTTCATTCCACATACAATCCCATATTAAAAATATCTACATGTATTACAAGTAGGATTTGAAAAAATGTGTAGACCAGCTATGGAAAGGGCCATAGAGATTATTTGTGTTAATATCTCTTCTTCTTCCATCAGAATAATTTCCATATATTTCCAGAAAGTGGTAGCAAAACTGCCAAAAAAGCCAACACAGTGCTGAGCTGTATTAACAGAGGGATAGAATCAAGATCACGTGAAGTATTAATACCACTTTACAATGCCTTGGTAAGGCCACTCTTGGAATACTGCATCCAGTTTTGGTCACCACGATGTAAAAAAGATGCTGAGACTCTAGAAAGAGTACAGAGAAGAGGAACAAAGATGATTAGGGGACTGGAGGCTAATGCATATAAGGAACGGCTGCTGGAATTGGGTATGTCTAGTTTAGTGAAGAGAAGGATGAGGGGGGACATGATAGCAGTGTTCCAATATCTCAGGGGCTGCCACAAAGAAGAGGGAGTCAAGCTATTCTCCAAGGCGCCTGAAGGCAGGATGAGAAGCAACGGATGGAAACTGATCAAGGAGAGAAGCAACTTAGAACTAAGGAGAAACTTCCTGACAGTTAGAACAATTAACCAATGGAACAACCTGCCTCCAGAAGCGGTGAATGCTCCAACACTGGAAGTTTTTAAGAAGAGACTGGACAGCCATTTGTCTGAAATGGTATAGGGTTCCTGCCTGAGCAGGGGTTGGACTCGATGACCTCCAAGGTCCCTTCCAACTTTATTATTATTATCAGGAGAAACAAAATCTGAAATTAACTCAGTGTATTTAGTTATTTTGTTTACTTGTTCTGTTGAAGTCGACATGTTTTGAAAAAATGTTTTCTATACTTTCTTAATTAAGGAAAATCTATGTACAAATTTTGGTCAAGCAAAACATCCTTTTAAAAAGTACTCAAGATCTTGGCAACTGTCTCTTGCAATTTCAAAAACCTCCTCCACTTAACATCTTATATTAGCATAAAGAGTAATATATGGTATATGATACCTTGCTGTTCAGTAAAATGAAGAAAAGAAATGAAAAAGAAAATATATATATATAATAAAACAGATCTTCATCTAATTGTTTATAATTGGGAAAGAAAAGAACATGTAATATTTTCACCTAAGGGTGTAACCTTTAATTAATAAGATATGTGTAATTACTTAAAAATTACTTAGTTAAAAGGGATTCCCAAGTTAACTGGGCAACATATTTTAAAGTAATTATTTTTAATAAATGAAAAAATACAAAGGGCAAACATCTCACTAGAGCATCTAGTCTGTTTTGATGAAGAGAAAGGGTTTTTTTCCTCTAACATAACTGTTTTCTCACAAGCAGCTTTTGCATAAATATAATTAATTAAAAGCTTATTAGAGTAAAGTGACAGACCTATTATGGACTAGGCTGAAATGCTCCCACGGCATAAAAAAAATTAAGAAACTGACAAGGAATACTCAAACTCATTATTTCATCATGATAACATACATGCAAGCATGCTTTAATTTATTATCCTTAGCAATTGGATACACATCTAAATCATCTATTAGCGTGTGTGTGTGTACATGGAATCATTTGTTACTGAGTCAACATGGTTTAGCCAACAATATCCATGGAATAGTAGCTTTTTTCATCTTTGGATCCATCATATTTTCCCCACTTGCAGAATGCTTACTAGTGTCCTCTCCTTCTTCTCTGGTTCTTATTTATTGGCTTCAATAGGCTTTCTCTGTACTTAGCATTTGTATGGAATAGTCGGACCATGTCATGGTCTTTGTTATCCAACACCCTAGGCAAAAAGAGAGACGATTTCTGGGTCCTACGGGTTTTGAAGCTCCTCCTGGGTCGTCCTTTCCCATTGATGGAGACATACCAGAGTCTCTCTGCGCTGGCTTTGCGTTTGCTGCCAGCGCCATTGGGCACAGTTCGATACAAGCGGGATGCATAGGTATTATAGCCCAACTCATGAATCCTTTCCACAAACTCACATTCTGCATTGTAGGTTTCCTGGAAAAACAAGGACACAAACCATCACTTTCAAAAAGTGGCACTAACAACTGCAAGATACAAAGCTCATTGCATTTGTTCTTATGAAAACTTTCAGTTAGATCTAACACAAAAGCGACTTCCCTTTATTTATAAAGGAGATTTGATATCCAATGACATCTCCTGTTCTTATATATCAGACAAAACAAAGAACGCCAGCCTTTACCTTCCTGCCTTTCTCTATGAAATGGTGACAGTGACAATGAGATGATAAAAGCGAAAAAGTTATTACAATCTATTCTTGATTGATCCTGTGATTGATCATACTTTTCCCAGCTTTATATGAGCACCACCAAACAGAGAATGAAAAGTAGAAGCCTCTGTCTGATGCTACCAGGAAATACCACTCTGGCACACTACATTTCTCTTACCCCTGTAACCCATATTTGACTTGTAAACCACCATGATTTACTAGAACCTCTGGTGGTTAACAGACAAATATACATAGCATAATTTCCAGAATATAAACACCTATAAACAAACAATCCCATAAGAAAAACCAAATGAACACAGATAGAAGCTCAGACTGTAACTACTAAACCCACAAAATATCTTTGAAGAGCTGTTTTCAACCTCTTCCAAAACAACCAACCATGGAACTAATCTCACCTGGAAGGCTGTACTAGCAAATAGGCTCTGCCAATGAAAAGGAACACTCTTCATGCTTCAACTCTCCCACACCCTGCTTACTTCACAGAAGTGAGAGCCCACCAATTGGTTCTCCAAGGATAACTGAATGAACTGCGCTATTACAATTGGAGAATGTAGTCTTAAAAATAATTTGATGCCAAAACATATTGGTCAAAATCAGCATTTTGAACTGCAGCTGAGAGGGTACTGGAAGCTTATGGAGGACTCAAAACACAGGTATAATTCATTCCTTGTGATGTGTACCACCTAATAGGTGGCCACTGCATTTGAACTAATTGTTCTTTTCAGATAGTCTTCTGAGACAGCCCTAATGGGGTCTAGGACAATTCACTGTGGCCAACTCGCTGAAGGACAACTTGCCATTGGATAATTCAATGCTGTATTAATCATCTCATTCAGTTACTTTTATCATTAGTGTCTACGTTTTCAGCAAAGTTATTGTAACTCTTGTATTTCTGGGTTGAATTTCTTTGGAATGTGTTTGAATTTATTTTATCATTATTGGCCACAGTTTCATCAAAATTAATTAACTTTATTTGTTGATACAGTTCTGCAGTGAGTTGTCCCATGACAAGTTGGCCATGGTGAGTTGGCCAAGGCAAGTTGTCTCATTCCCCAACTATAGTACATTACAGTAATCTAAAGTGGATGGTGAACAGGGCATGAATTATTGTAGATCCCTCTTCACTGTTGCACTTCAGGGAAATGTAGCTCCCACTTCAGGTTGCATTGCAACAAGTAAACCAATTGCCATTGGCCAAGGCCCCTGGCCACTACCTGCCTAATCAGCAGTAGCCATGAATCCAGAAAGAACCCTAAATCATTGTCTTGCTCCTTCAGAAGCAACACTAGAGGTTGACAGAGAGCCACAATATATAAACAGCAACTCAGTCAAATTTAGTTCAAATTTAGCCTATTTTGTCCCATCCAGACCCGGTCACTGGGACAAGATATCACCAGCATCTCCAGTCTTGCCCCAGGGTAGCATAATAAATGATACCACACCCCAAACTGATTAGTGACCTCTCCGAGTGGCTTCAGATAGTTGTTCTGTCCAGTAAGTAGTTCTTACGGGAAAAAGAACTAAGCCATGAGGCAAAGGAGAGGCCACTGGCTCAGTCTCTACCATCAGCATCAACCAAACCACTATTAAGGAAGTAATAGAACATTTGCAAAATAGTGCCCCCAGTACTGAATACTTGCAGGAAGTCCAGAAGGATATGGTGGTCAGTGGTACTGAAGGTTGCTGAGAAGGCTGGTAAGACCAGAGCAGTACACAACTCCCATCCATCTCTCACCAATAGCCATCCCTTAGAGCAACTAATACTCTCTTTGTCTCATACCTAGGCCTGAACCATGATTGAAAGGGCTCCAGATCATCCTCTTTTCCTACGACAATCTATAACTGTGATAGAAATGGCCCATAACTATATTTTCAAAAATTAATTACATATTCTATTACTATAATTTGTTGAAACAGGTGATTTTTATTGGCAAGAAAAATTAGTGGGCCCTTTACCCATCTCCTAAATAAAGTATTTTTTTTAAAAAAATGATTGGGTAATCCCTAGTTATATATTGTGACAATATTTTTTCCTATATTGCTGATAGTTTACTTTACTTTTCTTTAAACTGGTATCCTGGAGATTTGTTGGAAATTCCATGTATTCTAATTTCCAGCCTTCATTTCGGAGATGAAATAAAACACTGCATTATTTAGCAAAAGTAAAATAAAGTTCTAATATTGAATATATGTAAATAAACTAACAAAGTATTGGATATTGTAAACAAACTAACACACTGTTAGCTTTGCTTCCATTCCCTTAAAACCAATGATGTCAGCAGTATTCAGTTAAGTACTTAAAATCTAGATGCGAGCTATCTATGAACCTCTCTTTATGCCAATTCTCATAGATGCATTTCTTCATTTACTTTCCAGTCCCCACATATTTCATTATTTTGCGGTTCTAAATTATCTACATTTCTAAATATAATTGCTACTATTCTGGATTGATGTATTTTAAAAAAAAAAAGTTGTAGGGAATTCTCAATCAGCCCAGCAGATGGAGTAAATTTGCCTGTAAAATCAAGGCTGCAAATCTCATGCTTGAAAGTGCATAAGTAGACTGCATAAGTAAACTATTAACACAGACCACGTTTAGACAAGCAGCTAACATAATTTCCCCTACAGTTATTTATTATTTATTTTACTATTTGTGATGTGATGTGGTATGATATCAGGAAGACGGGATCTATGAGGATTCCAAGCAAGAGTCTAGTCTTCTCTGAGATTTAAGCAATGTATTTCTACACTGGATACTTCAGATTAACTAAAAATGTGTTGATGTACCCCGTCATATTTCCCCAACAGTTTTTTAATTGTGCTAAGTAGACCTCAAACTAGTGTTGTAATCTCCCCCAAATATATTGTTTTAGGACTTTCAATATATATGCCAAGGTCTCCCTGTTAAAACAATGGTTGCCGTGATACATCATAAACAATTTATTATTATTATTTTATTATTTATTAACTTTTTATGCCACCCATTTCCCCTATAAGCTGATTTTGGGTGGCTTGCTTATCTATCTATCTATCTATCTATCTATCTATCTATCTATCTATCTATCTATCTATTAGATTTATATCCTGACTTTCCTTCAGGAGGTCAAGTGCTGCCTCTTACCATTATGCCTGCAAGGTAGATTGGACTTAGAAGCAGCAAAGTTACAAAGTGAGTTTGTGCAGCTACTGGGTTTTTTGGGATTTATCCTTTTTTTAATCACCACAATATTACTTTTCATTACCCTCGTTATCCATGCAGAATTATTAAGATCTGTACCGCCCAGAGTCATCAGGGACCTATACCAGAAAATCTGGGAAATCAAAACATATGGTCACAGGATTGGAAACGTTTAGTGTTAATTCCACTGCCGAAAAAGAGTGATTCTAAAGATCCAATTATCGCACAATTCCTCTTATCCCTCATATCAGCAAGGTTCTGCTTAAAATTGTACAACAATGTCCAGCATTGAAATGAAAGAGAATTACCAGATGTCCAAGCTAGCTTTTGAAGAGGTCATGGCACCTGCAACCATATTGCAAAGCTGCACTGGATCATGGAAACATCTTGTGAACATTATTTACATGTGCTTCATCAACTATGAGAAAGCGATTGTGTTAATCGTGAGAAGCTAAGGAGAGCCCTACAAGACCTGGGGGTACCAGCACATCTGGTCAAGTTGGCGTACACAAATCAGAAAGCCACTGTGCAAACACCATATGGAGATACCAATTGGTTTAGGGTAGAGTGTGACAAGGTTGCATCCTCTCCTCTTTTTTATTTAATCTGTGTGCCAAAATGATCATGAGAAAGCTAGATTTTGAAGAATCAAATTGGGGTAAAGATTGGTGGAAAAAACATCAACAATCTTCAATATGCTGATGATACATCCAAACCAAAAAGGCCTGGAACATCTGATAAAGAAAATCAAGGAAGAAAGTGACAATTTTGGCCTCTTCCTGAATATCAAAAAGACCAAGCTGATGACCACTACAAGGAAATAGAAATTGACAGTGAAGAGATAAAATGTGTGGGAAAATTCACTAAGATCACAGATAGCTCAAAGAGGTAAATGCAACACAGAAATAAAACATCGGATTGCATTAGATCACTCAGCAATGATGAATATGAGTCAAATATGGAAAGGCAAGGCCATCAGGTTAGGAACCAAATGTAGGTTAGTCCACTCTATTGTGTTCCCTATGGCTGTGAAAGTTGGAGCTTAAAAAAGCAAGGCAGGAAGAAGATTGACTATTTTGAGCTATGGTACAGGAGAAGTTCCTGCATATTCCTTGGACAGCAAAAGTGACTAACAGGCAAGTACTGGAGCACATAACACCAGATATATCACTAGAAGGCAAAAATCATGAAACTGTGTCTCACTTACTATCACAAGGGGTAATTCACTGGAGAAATCAATTATGTTTGGAAGAGTTAACCAAGAGTTAACCAGTAAAAGAAAACCAGTCTGTCAAAGAACACTATGGGGCAATATGTAAGTCTAAATGCTATGGACATGACATAATCAAAGCTGACATCAGCAGAGCATAGAAAAACTCAAAAAAATAGTGCAAGATCAGAACATGTGGACAGACCTGGTCCATTAAATCACCAAGAGTTAGACTCGACTTGGCAATGATGATGATATAATATCATCATCATTGCCACAATTTATGCTGGACTTATTTTAGACGTCTCACTGAATGGGCTAATATTGATCTGGAATGGAGAGCTTTGTGTAATTCAGTT